ACTTCTGGCACCCTTTCAATATTTTGATTCGATGTAGAGTTGTTGCTATATCTCCTGCTTTACAATTATATCCAACTATAAGTTTATTTAATAAAATTTGAATTTTACATTTTATAAATTTGATAGTTTTTTATTTTCTATAGAGAGAAATCATATTTATAATAATTTAAATTCATTAGATTTTTATTTTATTTAAAAATAACATCAGAAAACACCTGATGGTTGAAAAGTATTACCTTGAATATGTCTGATTTGTGAAGATAGTATTTTATAAAATTTAATTATTCTTATAATGATCTTTTAAATAAATTTGCACGCTTTGAAATAATTTATCAACTAAAAAAAGAAAAAAGAAAATCAATATTATATTGTTCTCTTTTTTAATTCCACTTTACATAATGTTTGTTTTGTGTACAAAACTAAGCCTTTTTTTTTATTGGATTGAGTCACGGAATTTGAGATATGCCGGCCGAAGGAACGATCAAATAAAGGGTAATAAAAGTGTAATACAATCGGTTAATCTTATATGTATTGAACGGCTGGCACGCTTCCTCGTGGAAACAAAGGTTTTTGTTTGATTCTTTGATAATATGAACGAATTAAATTGTTGTAATTCGATTATAATATATTTATTAAAGTATTACCCTATTAAGTAATTGACAACTTTCATTGTATCCAAAAACGGTGAATAAATTGCGCGTTAAGAGGTTAATTATGTGTTATTTATAAAAACAACGACAAATTGGCGTTTACAAAATTTATAAATGGGAATGATTTGTCCGATAAACATTCTTATGCTACCCCCCCTGTTTTAAACCTTAGAATTTAAAATCTGACGAATGTAATCGAAAAAAAAAAATGAAATGAAACAAAGTTTTCTCCTTTTTCTATTTTTGGATTTCAGGATACAAAGGTTATCCAAAAAAACGGCAAATAAAGAGGGCGGGGTTTCTCAAAAAAGTGTAAATTATATAATCTTTTGAAACATCTTTAATTTGAAACTTGACTAAAATTGGAAATAATAATATTTTCATTTTTAATATTATGTTGAAAGAACGAGACAATCATATAAATACAACTCGAATTCCTTGATGTTTGAAGGTCTTCAGATTACTTTTTAACACGAGTATTTTCTCAAAAAAAAAAAAAAAATAAGATAAATTTTGATAATTTATTTTATTCCTCCATTAAAAAAAAAATATATATAAAATAAATTTTGATAATTTATTTTATTTCTTTTATAAAATAAAATTTTGATAATTTTGATAATTTATTTTTGTCCCTTTTCTCTATCAAAGAAAAAAAAACGAAAATAAATTTTGATAATTTATTTTAATTTATTTTATTTTTTCTTCTTTCAACAAAAATTATCTTATCTCTCCTTCCCCCCCGTTGTAAAAAAAAAAAAAAAAAAAAAAAAAAAAAAAAATGCCTGAATTCCAATCTGTCATTGCTGCAACACCAGACGCATTAAATGGGACTGTTGAAATCGCTAATTCAGTTGTAACAGTTGGCGAAGCGTTAAATATAGCAAAAGGAACATTACAATGCATCGGTACCGCAGCAGATGCAATTACCCCTTTTATTCCATTGATAGGCGCAGCGACTACGATTATTAGCGAAATTATACACATCTACCAACAAGCAGCATACAACAAAAATATTGTTAGCGCTTTATATGATAGAACGAAATTAGCAGAATTTGCCATTGATACTTTACAACGACGTAAGAAATTACATGAGAAAGATTTTAGAAATCAAGAATGGTATAATGCATTTAATCGTTTCGTTGACGTTTTAAAGGAGATTAAAATTTTTGTCAAAGAAGTATCCTCACTTCGTGGATATAAAAAGTATTTTAAAAGTTTTACCGTTAAAGAGCGATTTGAAGCTCTAACAAATTCTTATGACATCGTTATGAAAGATTTAAACTTTACTATGGCGGTCGCAAATGAAGAACAAAGGCAATATGATAATGAATGTTTAATGGATGATGTTGCTGAAATGAGCAAAGTAAGTTTAAGTTTTTAACTTTTAATCATTTTTATTTTTACTTTTGAGAAGATATTTTATTTACTATTTTTTTTTCTTCTGCAGTTTCTTGAAACGATCGAAGGTGGTATCGTAACTAATGACAATAAGCTAAATATTGTTCTTGAAGAGTTAAGACTTATGAAAATCAGCATAGAAAGCGGAAAAGGACCAATTACCATGGCCAAACAAATAGAGGAAAATGAGATAACGGATCCTTATGTAAATGAAACAACCGATTATCGTGGAAGTAATAGACATATTGTAAGAAGGCAGTATAAGACAACCATAGAAGTTGCATGCAAACCTTTCGAATTAAATAAGGAAGATAAAGACGAATATAAGAAAAAGCAAGGTCAACTCGCTATCTTATCTAAATTATCTGAATGCACAAACATTCTTAAATTCTACGGGTTAGCGAATTTAAATGGGCAAAATAACATGATATTAGAGTGGGCTCACTATGGTAATTTGAAAGAGGTATATGATCACTATGATATTCCTTGGATGAGGAAATTACATATTGCTACTGATATATGTCGAGCCATCACTTTCTTGCAATCTGTGGACATTTTTCATCACGATTTGCGATGCGAGAATGTTATGTTGACAAGGAATCTGGAACCGAAACTTACGAACTTTGAATATGCTCGTTCCAAAAATGCCACAACTTCTTCAATTGGTGATTTAATGAAAATAGTTCATTGGTTAGCTCCTGAAAAAATGCGTGACAGAAGTACTCGATACAATATTAAATGCGAAATTTTCAGGTATATTCTTTAAAATATTATGTATGAAGTTTTAAAAAAGTTTTAAAGTATGTAATTAACAAACATTTTTCTCTCATATCTTATAGCTTTGGGATGTTACTTTGGGAATTAACTTTTGAAAAAACTCCATATCAAGGATGGGACATGGAAAGAGTGGAAGGCCATGTGAAAGCAGGAAAGAGAGAAAAAATTACATTTGGGCCTGTTGATAATGACCGAGAATTAGAAATTCAAAAAGTATTAGAACAAGTTATAACAGGAGGTAAGCATAGGTTGATACGTATTTTGTTGATTTATTTGAATTTTGATAGTTTATTAATGATAAATTTTTTTTTTTTTTTTTATTATAAAGCATGGAAAGCAAACCCTGAAGAAAGAATTTGTCTTGTTAAATTATTCAACACTCTAGAACAATTGCAATCAGAAAATAAAAATTTGATGGAACACAGTTGCAATACAAATTTACTTCCACAAAAATCTTTAGATTTAGATGGCTCAAGTACACCTCCACCGCCTCCAGATAGTGACGCGGATGTGGAATTGCCCGATTTCGAAGATTTCACGCTTGATTTTGGAATATCAACAGTTATATCATTTGAAGAAGGAGTAAAAGCACATAAGGAGGGCAAATTTGATAAAGCTTGGGAATGTTTTGAATATCATGCAGATAATGGAAATGCTAATGCAAAATATTGGATGGCATATTATTTATGGGAAGGCAAGTTTATAGAGAAAAATTGTGAAGAAGCTGCTAAATTATTTAAGGAGGCGGCTGATGAAGGTATTGCTGATGCACAACTTCGCTACGCATTCACATTTCAAAATAAGCTTAATAAGAAAAGATATCGAGAAGAATTCATTAAATATTTAACTTTGGCGGCTGATGGAGGAAATCAGTCCGCTCAATATAATTTGGGGGATGTTTTGTTTAATAAAAAATTGTTGATGAATGATAGGCAAAAAGGAATTAATTATTTAAAATTAGCTGCTTTGCAAAACCATCCAAATGCAATTAAAATGTTGGAAAAACATAAAATTAGTTTTGCCGATGGACCAAAATTAGAAAATTAGATAGACGTTTTTTTTATGGATGGTTGTACATTTTTATTAAAAAAAAAAAAAAAACTTATATAATAAATAAAAGTAATAAAAGAACAAAATTTAATATATAATAATAATACAGTGAATAAGGTTAAACTTATGCGCACTCCCTGATTGGAAAAAAAAGTTTAATGTTGTGAAACACCTTAATTAAAAAAAATGAAACGATTGGTCTGAAAATATGAGTTGATCGATATTTATATATTTAATTCATTTAAAAATTTAGTTAATGTCGAAATTCTTAGTATAATTATAAATATATTATTTAATGTAATACTAAACATAAGGGACCGACTCATCGAGCGAATGATGCATTTTCCAGGACGTTTCTTGAATCATCAATAACAACTGTTTTAATAGATTATTTCAAATACGTTAGTGAATCTTTTATTTTAACGAAAATCTAAAAACCGACGAAAAAAGTTTCATGAAACACGACTTCACTCTTTTACCGTTTATCACGTGATAAAGTTTTAATAAATTCGGTTAGGATATCGAACTCTATGCACAGGAACTATTATCAGTGAATATAAACAATTAAAATTATCAAGGAACGCGGTGCCCGAAAACCGAATATACAAATATTTTGTTCGTTACTAGAATTCGCAATAACGATACCTAAAAAATTGAGTCAACCAAATTTGGATGTTGGAGAATTCATGTACGGACATGATCAAGACAATATTCATGCAGGGTTATATAATTTGGCATACTTGGATTAAATCAAAGGACAAAATTTATAAGGCATCTTTAAATTATAAATATATTTCTAAAATCAACTTCCTACAAATACTTTAGGAACTGGTTCAATTTAAAAAATAATTTTGATGAAACTACTCAGCTTTACATGATATTGAGAACAATTAAAGATCATGTTAAGATTAAAAAATAAAAAATCTATTAGAAAATACTCGTCGAAGGTTTTATAGGTAGACTTTGGGATATAGATCTTGTAATACTTAAAATAAATATAAGATATCATTAACAATAATTATGACCTGAATAATAAATACGAATATATTTTTATGTAAAGTATATCGATATACAATATATATAATAATAAATAAATGAAGAAATATAAATTAACGATGAATAACATTATTCATATATACTAATATTATTTTTTTTTAAAATTTCTATCGCTTTAGTCTGATTATACAAACAAGCTTGTCTTAAATATTTAATACCTTTTTTTATATCCTTTGCAAAATTAAGTTTACCTGAAAAATATACATCGCCAAGGTTATAAAGGGCAGTAGGATTTTTATTATCCGCCGCCAGTTTTAAATATTCCATGAATTTTTTACTATCAATATTTTGATTTTCCTTATCAATTAAACAGAATGCATATCGTAATTGAGCATCAGCATTACCCGCATCCGCTGCCTCCTTAAATAATTCCATAGCACGTTTCTTGTTTTTCTCCACATGCCTGCCTTCCAGATAATAATACCCGCACCAATATTTTGCCAATACATCTCCTACATCTGCATTTCCTTTGAAACATCCCCAAGCCTTTTCATATTGTCCTGCTTTGTGAGCTTGTAAACCTTCTTTGACCGTGAGTATAGGTGTAATTGGTGTAGAATTAGAAAGCTCAAGATCGGGGATAGTTAAGTCGTCTTGGTTATCATCATCATTACTACGTATTACCGGAGAAATTATATTTAATACATATTTTTGATATAATCCATTCATCATATTGAAGAGAGGTTGAATTCCTGGACGTAATGATGGTTCTTGTTGCCAAGCGAGCTTAATTATTTCACCATATCCCGTTTGAAGTGGGTTATCGGTTAAACCAAACTCCAGAGATTCTCTACCACCTTTGGAAACAGATTTTTGTATGTCTACCATAGACTTATTTTTGTATGGTATTTTTTCAAAGGCAAGTTCCCAAAGGGTCATTCCAAAGCTGAAAATTTCACATTGAATAGTATATCTAGATTCTTCTTGTCTTTTAGAGCCTTTCTGATCACGATCAAAACTAATCAATTTTTCGGGTGCTAACCAATGTATTATAGCATTCATATCATCTATCTGACTGGTGACAGCGTTAACTTCACGAGCAAATTTGAAATTACAAAGTTTGGGTTGCATCTTCTCAGTCATTAACACGTTTTCGCATCGAATATCATGGTGCAAAATTTCCACTGTAGATTTAAATGAATTGAAATGTGTGAATTTAAGGTTAATTTGAACGTACATTGTGAAAATTTTTGATCCAAAGTCAGTTACCTGCATGTAAAAAGGCCAATCCACGACAAATATCCCTTGCAATAGTAATTTTTTCCTCCCATCCAAGCTTATATCTCGTGTAAACTTCTTTTAAAGTTCCTCTTTCTGCCCATTCAAAAACCATTACAACTTTTTTATCAGGTAATTCTGATACTCCATGAAACTTAATAATATATGGACAAGTGTCTAACTTTCCCAAAATAGCAAGATGCTTCTGAATTTTTTGCACATTGTTCGTAGCAATCGGTTTGCAAGCCACTTCCACTGCATTAAACATTTTTTTTTGAACTATAACTCTGCTGCCTTTACGATGATCGATTTCTGGAGGATCTTGAATTTCTGAAGCGTTGATTCGTTTAGCTTCTACATGTAGTGAACTTTGCTCATTTACTTGTTTATTAAATGAGGTGATGGCATCAATTTCATCATTAAGTGAACCGAAACTAAGTGCTTTATCTTGATTTTTAAATTCTAAAAGCTGTCTGTTTTGTTCCATAATCTTGTCATTTTGTTGTTGAATATTTTCAATTACAATCTTAATTTCGCGATTTTCGCCAAGGATAAGAGAAGTATCTGACTTAATATCATCGGCTTTATTGTCAATAGATGTAACACCACCTTCAATATCATCCAAAAACTTTTATGTATTTTAAAAAACAAAAATTAAATTAAACTTAATTTTTCCAATAAAAAAAAGTATATATATATATATATATATTTTGCAAAAATACAATGCTACATACCTTTTTCATTGCAACAATATCATTTTGTAAAATTGTAAAATCCTTATCCATTTGCTCTTTTGTAGCGACAGAAATTGCCAAATTCAAAAGATCGGAACATTCATTAAATTCGCCGATAACCTTTTCAAAATTATCTTTAATAGCCCCGCTTGTAACAAAATTTTTAAATTTCGATAAATTTGAAATTTCAACACAAAATTTCTTAATTTGTTTTAAACAATTTACAAATCTTAGAAAAGAATCATAATAACTTTGTTTACAAAAGTTTTGAAGATTATCTTCCGATTGCCTCATTAATGCTTTAATAGCGGTTTCGGCGGCTTCAACTCGATTAACTAATATACCGCAAGTTCTTTTATTATATTGAACATTTTCATATAGTTCCACTATTTCTTTTACCAAACTTGATACAATTAATACAACGGGTAGGTATGTACCAACAGCATCTGCAACGTTTCCCATAACTTTAATGGACCCTTTGGCAAATTCGCCAGTAACACGTCTTTCTAATGCAAATTTACCGATATCTTGCATTACTTCAACGGTTGAAGCGGCAGCTCCTGAGGCTTCTTCGATGGCTTTTGACATCTTCATGTTTTATTTACTTAAAAAAAAAAAATTCCTAATAGTACAAAATTTGTTTTAATTGACCAAAATTAATCCTACCGCAGTATTGTTAATTCTTTTTTTTTTTTTAAAAAAAAAAAAAAAAAAAAATTAGATAGTTTTCCCTTATTTTATAATTTTTCAAATATGCAAGCGATTCCGTAAACTCCGAGCTCATATGTTTGTATATAGCACTAAAAAAATTGTTTATAGAAATGATCTTATGGCCGGAGTTTTCGAAATCTACCCTTTTCTCGAATGGAATTCTAGAATCTTTGGTAGGAATTCCTGTTTCACAAAATTTGGAAATCATTATGCATAGTATACAATTTCGATTGTGCTTAGTCAGTCAGTGGTAAATTTGCCAAAATACAAAATTCTTTTGATTTTGTAAAAAAGAAATCTATCATTGGATTATTTTTCAATTTTGAAATTTTGCCTATTCCAATAAAAATTCTAAATGGCATAAAAATCCGGGATAGCGATATGTTTGGTTTTTTATCATTGTATTTTATGATAAAGCAGTCATACGATTTCGTTTTTGTCAGTGATTGTTCACTATTCTTATATACGCAAAATAGCAACTCTATTACAATTTTTTTGTCTAAAAATTAAGAAAAGGTTGTTAGAATAGGCAGAGGATTACTTTCAATGAAAGTATCAAAATTTGAATGATAATACGGCAAAATGATCGACATTAAGATATATGTATGTCGTTTAGCCGCAGAAGCGTTTACCATTATAATATCGATGTCGGTAGATCGAAAAAAGGTGTTAGAACATAGGATAGAATTATCCGAAATTAATTTGAAACAACTACATCAAATGATTGAGGCAGTGTTGGCAAATGATCTTGAATAACCTTGAAATGACCTCAAATGCCATCACTGGATTGAGGAAGGTCAAAAGGAAAACGAAAAGTTTTTGACCACGGAAAACGTTGGATTTTATCAATTTAACGGAAAGTATCCTTGAGAACATGAACGTATAAAGAAATGGCCTTGCGGGAACTTCGACATAAACTTGATTCGATTAGTAATGGCAAATTATATCAAATTTGATTCGGGCGATGAAAATCCGTTAACTCAGCTGGGAGTTGTCTCCAAAGTTAAGGGTGAAGATATCATTATGGAAGAAGAAGATCCTTTCTTAACCATTCATAATCATATTTGATTATTGTTTTCATTTGCTTGATGAGAAACCGGACTATGATGAAGAATCTCATTTCAGGTATCCTTGTCCAAGCTCATCATGTCAAGAATCATTTTGTAATTATGAATGTTATCGTTTGGCTAAGAACCTTTATCATGATGAACTTTGTGGTAAGTCTCATTGATTACATTCAAAGGGAAAGAGGAGACATCAAAAAAGAACAATCTTTTTATTATTATTGAAATTATTCGCCATTGGCAAAATAAAAAATGTTTGTCCTTTGGATGTCGAAGAGATCAAACATTTGACAACGTTACATTATTTGGAGAATCATGATCTATGGTTTATTTGGAAATTTTGAAAATATTTTGGATTTTTATCACGTTAATCGCGATGATTAGCACGAATGCATTCGATCGATCAACCGTTCACGATACTGCGGCAATCTTTCCCTTAATCGCACTATTTAATCATAATTGTGATAATAACGATAATATTTACAAGAATTGCCGAAATTAAACACCATCACTATGCCCGCGATTTATAAGTTGCTTCGTAAAACTCTACATTACATTGGTAGTATTGGTAGTAATTCTTATCGAATGACCATTATTGCTAAAAATAATATAAAAAAGGGAACCACTTTTTTTGACTTATTTTTATGACAAAAGTCCCGTCATAAGCAACTTTTACGATCTTATAGTTTCTTTTTATTGTAACCGCTCTGAGAAGGAGAAGGCCGATAATTCAAAACATTACCTATTGCTTGGTGTTTATATTTTCCGGGCGATGTGCGTTGTAAAATTTGTTAAGCTGGGTTCTGTATGCATTAGAAAATAATATACTCTTGACACGAATTTTACTCCTAATTAATCAAATATGAATTTGTAAGAAGAACATACTTCTAAATATAAATATTATTCACCTCCTAGACCGATTATTCTCCAGCCTATACATATGGAAAGGTTGGCTTTCGATCTTTAGCTCATTTTATGATAAATAATCCATTTGAACGATAAATCTATTACATGACGATATGCCTAGAATTTTTTCTGAATTATTCGAAATGTATATAATTCTCATTATACTTATTATACTTGAATCATCTAAAATAAAAAGATTACTTTATCAATTCTAATCGTGATTAATAAAATCTGTAAAGATACATAAAATGGATGTGCTGAATCTAATGATATTTGCATAACCACTCTATAAATCCCACAACTCAGACTGTGTGTGGAAAGAAAATGTTTCCCCATGCTTTATTAGAAATAATGTAAAACATTACAAAGTATTGCGTAATATATTATTAAATTTAACAATCATTTATAATGAATGATAAATGGCCAACTTGCACTTTTTATTTTTTGATGGTCTTCTCTTATTTTTGGTGCTACTTGTTGTTCAGAAACATTCAAGTTGAGACGTTTTTTCCGCTTAAATCAATCCCCAAAACATATTGTTTGACGTGTTCTCTTATCCAAGATGAAATTCTCCTGACATTATTTTCTTTAATAGTAACAAATTCCTGCTTTTGGTAATTATCATATAATTGTACCGGTATGACAAAATAAAAGGAAATTCTTTGATAACTTATTATAAAGTTTATCCAAACCAACCATATTAATAGGATAGTTCATAGAAGTAGTCATTTGTAATAGAATATCTGGAGCAACAATCGCATCAATTGGAAAAATTTCATTTTCCAGTTGATAATATAATAATACTTCAGCATCTCTACCATTTATGCTCAGTTATAATTCTAGTATAGCCATTGATGCAGAAATTTTAACACATTTGTGAAGGCTTTATTAGTATTAAGGGTATGATTTCATTAAAGTTATTTAACTTAAATTGAAAAAAAGCTAATTTATTTTTTGTATTTTTTTTAGAATATCACAATTGTTAATAATTCTCTTCTGTTCTATGCATAAGGTCAGGTTTAAGCAAAAAAGTTCTACAGTATCTTCTGATAAAGGATAATTAGAATTAGTTTATTTTTAGAATGTATCCTATACACTATGTAATTTGTTATCATTTTTTACTGTATCAATAAAGTGACCCTAACAGACGATTTCATAAATATACTTGTTTTTACTTAGCAATTTTCTGAGATAGCATATCCTGAAATTCTGGTGACTTTATAACCTATCAATTTTTTTGGCAAAATTTCAGTGAACTCAATTCACCCAAAACCAGATGTTTTTTTTTGATCAGAATTAACAGATCTCATGTTTGTAATATGTTCACATAAATTTATTAGTATCATAAAGTTTTTTAATATAATAATGTTAGTAGGTGTATTTTTTATGTGCAATTATTTTTTTACACAAACTATATCTAATAAAATATTTCATTCTAATTATAAATATATTATTGACAAACTTTCTAAAAGTCTTATTAAAAGAGTATATAAGAAACTATTATACTATTTTAAAGACCCTATTCTGTAAGAATTTATTTCTAAAAAGTCTGAACAAATTGAATCTTATTTGAAATATACATTAGAAGTTTATAAGAATTCATTAAATAAGAAATAATATAACAAATTTATGGTGCAGAAGAAATTAATATATCACTAAAGCTGACCAGAATATAATATAATTCTAGTATTAATGACTAAGTTTACTTTAACTAACAATGATATTCTGATTGACAGTATCACCTGTATCACCTGTAATCATAAAAAAGAAAATAATTATTAGATCATAAATGAACTTAAAGTTTTAACCTAGTATCTGCTTAATTATAATTAGGGTTCCACAATTCAATATGATATTTAAATATTTGATTTGATTCGATCAAATTCAAATTAAAGAATGATTTATTTGATCAAATCCAAATTAATGTTTGATTCAATTCGATCAAATTCAAATCAAGTATTCAAATAT